TGGCCGGGAGCGGCCACTGCACTCCAGTCTAGGTGACAGAGTGAGACTCCAACTCAAAAAAAAAAAAAAGAAGAAGAGTCAGAGTGATCATCCCAGCACGTTGGGAGGCCCAGAAGGGAGGACTGCTTGAGGTCAGCAGTATGAGACCAGCCTGGTCATCACAGTGAGACCCCATCTCTAACAATATAAACTATATTTTTAAAAAAGGGAGAGTCAGCCGGGCTCGGTGGCTCAGCCTGCAATCCCACGCCTTTGGAAGGCTGAGGTGAGGGGATTGCCTGAGCCCGCGGGTTCGAGACCCGCCTGGGCAGTGAGACCTCATCTGTACAATAAATCAAAAACTCAGCCGGGTGTTGTAGCGCATGCCTGTAATTCCAGCTACTTGGAAGGCTGGGGCGGAAGGATCGCCGGAGCCCAGCAGGTCGAGGCTGTGGTGGCTGGGAGCGGCCACTGCACTCCAGTCTGGGCGACAGAATAAGACTCCAACTCAAAAAAAAAAAAAAAAGGGAGAGTCCAGTGGCCTAAACTGTGACTCTGAAGCATTCAGCTCAGCATAGGTCTGGACTAAAAGATGCTAGCTCTGTTTTCCCAGTTTAATGAAAGGGTACTTCTTCACAAGACAGACTCCAAAGACAGCCCTTCAAGACCCAGGAGACTCCCACCCAAGAGCGTTCAACCTCGCCAATCACGGGCTGGGAGCCTGACCAGGCCAATCCACACTGGTTGGATCCAGAAATGGGCTGTAATGTTGAGAAGGTGCTGTTGGGTATGTCACTAGCAATAGTACCAAAGACCACAGAGGTGGTAAGGAGGATGCTACCTTGGAGGGTCCTAATCAGGTTTCTGACCAAGCAACACCGGAGAAGTGTTCAGAGCCCAAGACTTAATTCAGGGTTGGGGTGGGGGGGCACAGAGCCTCACTGCTCTTAGGTCTCAGGCTCAAATACTGGGAAACAGGGTCCTGGGCCTACAGTTTCTGCCTTCATCACCCTGTCTATTCAGTATCTGCAGCAAGGCCACCTTCCCCTGGGCTCCCTCCCACTCTGGCTAATGTTACTCAAGTGGTCCTCAGCTCTGATACTGAGATTCAATCCGTTAAACTTAAAATGAAGAGTGCCAATTCGTCACCCTGGGCCTGAGCCAAGGATCGTTTCAGACCAAACCTGGCAAGGCCAGCTTCTCCCAAACCCTCTCCAAGGCTGTGGTCCTACTAGCTCTCCGTTCCAGAAACGACTTCTGGCTTGCTCCCAGCTAGGGTTCAGAAGTCCTTCTGAGTCCTAAGACTGCTTGAACGGCCTCAGCCAATAGGAGCTCTATCTATGGGAACTGAAGGCTGAGAGGCTGTTTAAAAAGCAAAGCCCCCAGGTTTAGGATGAGCCCCCACCCCCACCCCTACCCCATTCCTCTATAAAGAGCTTCCCTTTCTGCCTCCTCACTTCCTTTGGCCCAGGAGGGTTCCACTCCATAATTGTCTTGTTTACTGCCACTCTGAGGGCTTTTGAGTAGCAAAGGTGGGAGGAAAGTTTTGTGGGAAGTAAGGAAAGGAGTGTGTGCCCTGAGCTTTGAGGGTGAGCAAACCCTCCAAATGCCTCTCCCTCTGTGAACTGGCCAACAACCCAGTGAGAGAAAAACACAAGGCTATGCAAGGCCAGCTGAAGATTTCCAGCAGACCACAGGAGGGAAGCTTATGTTTGGCGCCTGGGAAAGACAGAACAATAACTAAAATTTAATCTGCTGGCTTCTGCTGAATAGCTGAAGGCGTTACTTGGCATTGTTCTGAGTAGGGAGCCAACCAGAGACCTCTCAATTCTGCTTCTGTAGGCTAGGAGATCCAGTGACGTCATTCTCCTGATCAAAAGCCTTTCAAAGCTCCAAAGCTTGGAGCAAACTTACTGTCCGCTACAGGCCCCCAAACTCCAGCCACTGACTACTGATCAGCAGAGCCAATATGCCAGCTAAACACACCTGCTGGGCCACAATCAAATCCTCTGCTTCTCCACCCTCTGCCAGTGGGGTTCTGCCTCAAGCACCAACCCTCTCCATCTTTAAGCCCCACCCCCACGCCCCCATGCAGGTTTCCCCAGCTCCCCAGCCCTTTTCCCACCCCACACTGAATTTCCCTGACCCTGCTGTGTCTCTTTTCAGGCATTTGCCTTACTCTGTCCCGCTTCAATAGCTCCCTGACACCTTGCTGTAGCCCTCCACGTGAGCAAGTGTGTCTTATTCAGTTTTGATTCATCAGAAGCACAAAGCACAGTACCTGGCAGACAGTGACACTTAAGAACTTGTTTTTACCGCCCGAATAGCATTCATTTCAGAGGCACAGGAAGTAATAGGCAGAGGAACATGAAGAGTCACACAAACAGAACACAAAGATCAGTGGACACAAAACACTCTAGAGGACAAGAGGCATCACAGCGAAACGTAACCTAGTGAGCAGCATCAGGCCTTACCCTTTTTGAACTCCTCTAGCATGGCATCCAACTTGGTGTCATGGAAGACAAAATGCACTGGGTGGTTGTAGAAGCGGGTGATGGTCTTGAGGGGGGTGCAGTCATCGGGGTCCACAAAGGCCAAGTCTTTGACATAGAGGATATCTACGATATTGGACTGCTCGTCTTCAAACACAGGAATGCGCGTGTAACCGCTCTCCATAATCTCGGACATGGTGTTGAAGTCCAGGATGGCATCACTGCGGATCATGAAGCAGTCTTGGAGCTGGGTCATGATATCCTCCACGGTTTTGGTCCGCAGTTCCAGGGCACCCTGGATCATATTCAGCTCCTCTTTCACAAGGTCATTATAGGGCTCTGTCACCTTCAACATCTCCATCAGCTTCTCCCGATTGTAAACGGTGCGAATCTCCTGGCCCAGGAAAAAGTCCAGGAGCTTGCTGATGGGAAAACTGAGGGGGAAGGTGAGTAGCATAAAGAATTTGGTGAGAATAATGGTGTTGGCACCCACAGCCAGCCCGTGTCTGGAGCACAGGGCCTGAGGTAGGATCTCCCCAAAGATGACAATACCAATGGTGGAGGAGGCCACCGCCATGAGGCCAGACCCGATGAGGTTGTCTAGAAGGATGGTGAGGGAGGTGTTGACCAGCACGTTCCCCAGGAGCAGCGAGCAGAGCAAGTAGTTGCCCTTGCGCCGGATGGGCTCAATCTTGCGGGCGTAGCGCCTCTCCTTCTCGGTACCACAGTTCTGCACGATGCGCAGCTCCATGGGGTCCAGGGCCATAAGCCCCAGGTTGAGGCCAGAAAAGATGCCCGACAGCACTAGCAGCACCATAATGACGAGGATGTGCAGCCAGAGGGGCAGGAACCTCCCAGGCTCTTCCACCATGAAGAGCAGCGAGTCCTTGTCCGTCCACTTCAGCCAGGGCCCATCAGCCCGGGCGCGGGTGCACAGCGCATACAGCTTCATGCTCTCGCTCCTCCGCAGGAACTTGGTGAGCACCACCAGCACGCCGGACGTGTTCCCGCGGCTCACGTTGACCAGCTGCTGGACGACCAGGTCCTTGGTGAGCTCGAGGCAGTTGGTGGACTTGTGGGCGGTCTCCGCGTCGTCCACCTCGGTGAAGGAGATCAGGTTGCTGGAGATGTTGCCCAGACTCTGGCCGTACAGCCTCAGGTTCACGGTGCTGCCCTCGGACACAAAGATGATGCCATCCTGGTTTATCCCACACGACTTGTTGCAGCTCGCCAGCCTCATGCCCACGATCGCGCCCCGCTGGG